ATTGTTCTTCCATGACTACTGAACCCACTTTGTAGTCTTACAATATGGAGACAAGAACATTCCCCTCCTAGGTCTTTTAATTTTTTCAAGGGGCATACATGTTACAAGGTTACTTAACCTGTTCAACATATACCAGATTAGATATCAATTAAGCATTTTTGCAATAAGGTATAATATAGAAATTGAATGAGCTATTTCCCTAAGTAGTAAGTCTCCCTGTCCTGAACACATATAAGCACATTTGTGTTTGTTTTGTTTAGAGCATACCTCTGGGGAATACAATTCCCCGGAGTCTTGAACAGGGCTTAGTGCAGAGGTATAACCAAGAAATATTTCTTGTATGAGTCAATAAAGCAAAAAATGGAAGCACAAAATAGATGGCATTTCAGCTAACTTTTTTGGGTAATGGATCATCCTAAAGGTGGCAGCTTCAAACAATTCCTTATTTTTCATGACTCTGTGGATTGGATAGATGCTCTGAGTGTCTCATATTTCTGAGACCCCAGCTTTACAGTAGGGACAACTGGGTGTCTCTCATTTTCCTGGAGTCTTTTCACTGGGCCTCAGCATTCCAGGACAGTGAGAGCAAAAGCTGCAGTGTTGGGCTTCAAACTCACTTCTAGGGCATTCTACTAGTCAAGAAGTTCACAAGGCCAGCTCAGAAGAAGTAGGGAAATTGATTTCACCTTTGATGGGAATTGTTGAGACGAGTCTGTGCTGTTTTCTTAATTTATCACAGATGACCAACTTTAAAAGAAACCTCTGTTAGAGAACTCTTACAATAGGAGGCAGATTGGTCAAGCTGACCAAAATCCCTCCAACTCTGATTCTCACCAAGCTGAATCTTGCCATGTTTCTCAGAATAATTACTAGCTGTTGGTATTTGGAAACCTCAATTTTCCTCTGGTAAAGTATTTTTTAAATATAATTAAATAAATAATTGTTTTCAAACTATTACTTAGATATTTTTATATTCTTCCTTTAACTATTTCGAATCCCCACAATTTTCTCGTGAGAGTGATATTTACATCTCATTATAGTAATATTTAACTAGCTCTATTTTTATTTCTTGTATAGTAGCAGCATTCTTTTTTTTAATGCTTTGTTGATTATTCTATAAATGTTAGGTAAACTGTTTTCACTTATTCATCCATCAAATACTTAATTTAAAATTAAGGATTAAAAATATTAAGTTCTTATTTTTATTCTATATCAGAGGAGAGTGATTATTATTGCCTTGGTATTTACTGTCATTTACTATTAAAGATACAAATCTACTTTTTTACATTCTTTTATGAAACTTTATTAAAGATATGCCCCTTGAGACTATTTTTAGCAGTGACAGCTACAGAGACTTATGATGCAGAACTATCATAGTACCTTACAAATAATATATGAAAACTCTGTGAGGGGCTGGGCTTGTGGCTCAGTGGTAGAGCACTTGCTTCACATGTGTGAGACACTGTTTGATTCTCAGCACTGCATATAAATAAATTAATAAAATAAAGTCCACCAACAACTAAAAATATTTCTAAAATATAGTTTATTTTAAAAAAGCCTGTGAAACTATTAAGAAATTTCAGGGGGCGAGGGTTGTAGATCAGTGGTAGAGTGCTTGACTGGCAGGTGTGAGGCACTGGGTTCTATCTTCAGCACTACATAAAAAAATAAATAAAATATAGGCATATTGTGTTCATCTACAACTAAAAATATTAAAAAAGAAATTTCAGAACAAACCTATTGCAAAAACAGTATGAGAAAGGCTGCACTGTTTAAAGCTAAAGTTATTAGAAAAAGTTCATGCAGTAACATTTGACTAAATAGAAAAAGTTCATACAGTAACATTTTGTTAGTATATTTTTGTAAGTGGATGCAATTAGTTGAAAATAAAGACACATTTTTGGTAATTTCTGACAAATATTTGACAATGAGTTCAAATACAACCATTTTGGTCATCACTGTAGGAATTTACTTTTAAAATTTGAATGTGACATTAACCTACTTCCCCTAAATTTAACATCCACACTTCTTTCATTCAACTCTTCCTAATCCCTCCAAAAAATTAAAACCAAACTTGAATCAACTCACAACCCTTTTAGAGAAGCCAGTTCATCTCTGGATTTCGTGTGCTAGCTCTTGAATAGATTGATAATAAACCTGATATAGTAACATATCGAGGAATTCTTTTTCTACTTTTTTTTTTAAAGTAAACTTTATTTTTCTTAGCTAGTTACCTACTACCATAACTAGACCTAAATGACATTCTCGTTAACAACTTTACTTCTTAGTTTTAGGTTCACAGAAAAGATGAAGAGAAAGTCCAGAGTTCCCATATGCTTTTGACCCTAATGTCCAGTTTCTTTCTTTTAACATCCTGCATTGATGTTGTCCATTTCTTCATGAGCCAATATTGATAATAAACATAGTGCTGAGGGCCATTGCCAAGTAGGAATGACGCATCGAAATTTCCTTGCCAGCGTACCCCATGTTAAATGGACTTGCCTTGGAAATCCGCTGTGACCTTGCATGTGTGTTTGAGAAAGGTGACCCTGCTCAAGGACCAGGGTGGATCCAGGATTAGGGTGTATCCTGCAGGTTTTAGGAAGTATCTGGGTTTAAGATAATTTGGGTTTAAGGCGTTCCCGGTTTAAGACTATGTGGTTTTAGGGAAGTTCCAGGTTTAAAATTATTGCTGTAGGGAATAGGGCGTTCCTACCGCCTGAGTTCCCGATGAGTTCTCGTGGAATTGAAAAAGTATTTGGGACATGAATTGTGCAGTGGCAGAACGAAATTTTCCCGAGAATGTGTGTAGAGGCCGGTGTGAGTTCGGGAATAAAGAATTGCTGTTTGAATCTACAAGGTGTGTGGTGGCTCGTGATTCTGTGCCCAGCCAAGACTGCGGCAACATAGCAATATTTATATAATTTTTTGAAGTTCTGAGGATCAAATCCAGGGCCTTGCACATGACTAGGGAAGCACTCTGCCACTGAGTTATGTGCTCAACTCCAAATAGATGATTAACTAAAGTCCATAGTTTATAGTAGGGCTTTTTCAGCTCATTACTCTTTCTGTTGTTAGTTCTATGGGTTTTGCTAAGTGTGTAATGTTATATATCAACCATTACCATATTATACAGAATAGTTTTACTGCCCTAAGAATATCTAGTGCTTCACCTATTCAACCCTCCCCCCAACCCTACTTTTCTTTTTTAATACCCAAGCCTACGGTAATATTAATTAGTTGGAGCTAAGAATTTGCTTAAATAACCAGTGATTCCCCATGGCAATCAAAATGTCTTAATTATTAATGTAGACTGGCACTGTCTACATTAAAAAAAAATACAATGTGAATAATGTGGGTATTTAAAATTTTCTAGAAGCTGCTTTAAAATCTAACAAGAATGAATGAAATTAACTTAATGTTTATTTATTAAAATATTAATAATTTCATGATGAAACCTAAGAAGATTGATATTTTCATTTTTGTTTGGGTACTAATTCTGGAAATTCCATATGCATTTTACACTTACAGAATATCTCATTTCAGGCATTCTGAGTGTTCAGTAACCACAACTAGCCAGTGACTAAGGTTTTTGACAGCAAACTTGCATACTCTGAGCAACCTGAATGTATGTTCTTCCAGGATTCTGGAATAGGCATGCAGCCAATCTGTTTTTAAAATATTGCTATATTTTTATTGGTGCATTACAATTATACATAATATGGGATTTGTTGTTACATGCATACAACAACATAATTTAGTCAATTTTGTTTTCCCATACTTCCCCTTGATCCCCTTCCTCTACTTTGCGGGGCCCCCTTCTCTATCTTGCATACATGAAAAACAGGACTCTTGACTTTTTGAGTTTGGCTTGTTTCACTTAACATTATGCCCTGAAGTTCCATCCATTTTCTTGGGCCAATGACTTCATTTTTTTTTTTCATGGTTGAAAAAAGAGGTCGATATTTTTAAAAGGTATATATTAGAAAGATAAAAGGGTTCTTTAAACCTCTAGGTGCTGATTCTCACATGTTCTGAAACCACAGTCTTTAAACTCACCAGTTTCAATAAAAGTAGACTGGGGAACAACTTTTCCCGCATATCAAACCAGTGAGTATTGGGCTTCCTGACTCCAAGAAAGCCTGAATCATCTGAAATGTTGACTCACTGCTTTAAGGTGATTGAAATGTAACAGTGAACCAAATTTGCACTTCCAAGGCATCTTGCTGCTACCACTTCCCTCTCTCCCTCCCTTTCTCTTTTTGGGTGACTCATTCTCTACCCTGTTAGAGTCCTGCAGCCAGCAAGCGCCCAAAACTCCGTTTGGGAGAAGAGCCGACTTGTAGATGGTGGACCCGGTATCCCCACATAATCTAGCCCAACTGTTTTTGCCTATGCACTCAGGGTCTGCCTGCTGTATTGATCGGGAATGAGCCTAAAACTGATACCAAAACAACAACAGCAAAAATGTTCTCTGAGAGTGGATGGTGATCATGATATGGTTAGGAATTTAAGTTTTCTTAAAAAAATCTTGTATTTCAAAATCTTTAAAAAATCCTTACGGCCTACTTCACAGTCCTGTTAACACCTTTCTTCACTTAGGGTTTTTTTCCTTTCCGGGGAGGAAAGTTTCCACCTCTAGTCCCCCAGGATAACGCCCTTCCGGCGGCTCTCTGGGAACCTCTCCAATCCCTCAGGGCGGGCGGCCAGTCCCCGGTCGCAGACTGACCTGGAGCTGCAGGCAAGGCCAAGACCCCACCCCACATCTACACAAGGCGAGGGGAGGGGGGATAGAGTTCTCAGATCCAAACTCCGCCCACCGGGCACAACACCAGCCGGTAAGAGAGAAATGCAATAAGTCCCACCCACTTTCATCTTCTTCCTTTTCTGTTGGACAGACGGGTTGCCCATCTTCTCTATCCTACTGCCGATTGGCCCTCTCCCTCCCGCGCCAGTCCCTGCCCTCCCTGTTGGGGCGGGTGAGTCACGCCAAATTGGGCGGAGAGTCTACTGGCCTCTCTCCTTCGTTCGTCTGGGCGGCGGCGGCGGCAACTGGGGACGGGGCGGGTGGCGCATCACGGGCGCGGAGGCAGGAGGAGCAGTCTCATTGTTCCGGGAGCCGTCGCCACTGCAGGTCCCTCGACTCGGTTGGCCCGGCCCCTCTTAGTACTCCCCAACCCCCACACAACCGCCTGCGGCTCTGAGGAGAAGCGGTCCCGGCAGCGGCAGCAGCTGCAGCATCATTTCTGACCCGCCCGCCATGGAAGACATGGACCAGTCGCCTCTGGTCTCCTCGTCCGCGGACAGCCCTCCCCGGCCTCAGCCCGCGTTCAAGTACCAGTTCGTGAGGGAGCCCGAGGACGAGGAGGAAGAGGAGGAAGAGGAAGAGGAGGACGAGGACGAAGACCTGGAGGAGCTGGAGGTGCTCGAGAGGAAGCCCGCCGCCGGGCTGTCGGCGGCCCCGGTGCCCCCCGCCCCCGCAGCGCCCCCGCTGGACTTCGTGGCCCCTGCGCCCAGGGGGCCCCTGCCGGCCGCGCCCCCCGTTGCACCCGAGCGGCAGTCGTCTTGGGACCCGAGTCCCGCATCGTCGACGGCGCCCGCGCCATCCCTTCCGTCCGCTGCCGCAGTCTCGCCCTCCAAACTCCGAGAGGACGACGAGCCTCCGGCGCGGCCTCCTCCTCCTCCCCCGGCCGGCGTGAGTCCCCAGGCCGAGCCCGCGTGGACCCCGCCCGCCTCGGCCCCTGCCGCGCCCCCCTCTACCCCGGCCGCGCCCAAGCGCAGGGGCTCCTCAGGCTCTGTGGGTGAGTGCAGCGCCCTCCCGCCTCGCGCCGCCCCTCGCGCCCCTCCGTCCCCTCCCTCTTTTGTGTGCAGCCCCAGACGCCTAGGGCAAGGCCTCCTCTCCACCCGGAGGGGGCTTTGTCTGCCGACGTCGGGGCGATGGCGCCCCCATTTGGTGGGAGGCGCTGGGGAGAAGGGTGGGGCGGCCGCGGAAACCCAGACTAGTTCTTTATTGTCTGTCTCGGTTTCGGGGAACACGTGCACCCCACCCCACTCCTACGTCCTTTCCTCTGGTCCCCAGTCCACTGCGTCCCGGAAGTTAGGCACCACCCCTTGTAGGAGCTGGGTGTGTACCGAGGAATTAGGGTTGTGGATTCGTTGGGGTGACTTGGCTTCGAGGTGAGGATGGAAAAGCCTTGACTCCTTTATCTTTTTAGGAGGGCCCTTTCTAGACCAGTCTTATTTTCCGAGGGTCTGTTGGCTTGCATTCAGCCCGGACCCTCGCCTTACTCCCTGTCTGGCGTGGGGCCCCCTTACGCTTCACCCCTCCTCCTTATGCGCTTGTGGGGAGCTGGCTTAGTGGAAAACGTCCACAGTGACCCAACTGCAGTGAAGGGAGAGCGCCTCCAGTGGTGTGGTGCGAGGAGGATTGGGAAAAAGAGACTTCTGGCGAAGTCCTGCCACCGCCCAGCTCTGCCGAGGGATATGTGAAGACTCCCCACCTGCTAAACAGCCTGGGAAGCGGGATCTGGGCGTAATGTTTCATCAGGGCGCAGTTTTGCAAGGGTCTTAGCTGCAGGGTGAGAGGAATTGCCAAGTATTAGTGTGGACCAGCTTAGCCTCTTACTGCATCATTAATTGACTCTTAGAGAAGCAAGCAAAATGGTTGACATTTTTAAGGGAAAACCTGTGGATTTCTTGCCAGGAATTGACAAAATGATATTGTGACAAATTTACCATGAGACCTAATGAAATATTTTGAGACGGACGTTTTCATATATTGGTGAGAGATGCTGTTTTTTAGAAGAATGCGGTTTTTAAAAAAATTTTTTTTTTTTAGAAAAATAACGTTTTTGATGGACTAAAACAAAACGTGTATTTTATAGTTTCTAATCTCTTCATTCACTTAGGTACTTGATTATATATTATTTAAAAAGGAACACTGTTTTATTGCATTTTGTATCCTGGGAGATTATTTTAGAAGGGATAAAGTTAAGTTTATTAGAGATTAAGAATGCATCTGAGATGCATATGGGTAAATAGGTTGTTTCTTTGAGATATAGTGTCCCAATATATAAGTACAAAGGTCAAGAAGGAAGTGATGTAACTGCCTGCTGAGAGATCTTAATAACCTTGTAGGCTTTGGGAGGTAGTTCCTTTCCTAGAAAAAGAATACCAGTCTGAGATCACACGATTTGTTTTTTTCCATTCACTTGTCCACAGTGGGGAAAATAAGCCAGTTTTGATGCTTCTGAGTAACAATTTATACTAACATACTGGAAGGCACTACTTAAAACACTAGTAGAAGATCAGGAGTGACTGAAGTGTTTTTTTTTTTTTTTTTTTTCTTTTTTGGCAGGAAAAATACACATTTGAGGCAAACTAAGGTAGAAACGTATAAATTAATAAGAATTTTTTTTAATTTTTATTTTTTAAAGAGAGAGTGAGAGGAGAGAGAGAGAGAGAATTTTTAATATTTATTTTTTAGTTCTCGGCGGACACAACATCTTTGTTGGTATGTGGTGCTGAGAATCGAACCCGGGCCGCACGCATGCCAGACAAGCATGCTACCGCCTGAGCCACATTCCCAGCCCCATAATAAGAATTTTTTAGAAAGGAAATATAATGATTGACAAAAGAATAAATACTAATTTGTTTTATATTTCCGCATGGGAATATAGTTTTGTTCTTTGAACATTATGGATTCAGGAGGTGACAGTGTTTTCTTGAAGTCTTGATTGTTGAAATATTAAGTTCGAAAAAGGAGAGAGAATATTGCCTACTCAGGAGTTCTGTACAATTTTGTATCCATGATACTTGAAATCTTCCATTTCTTTAGTGAATGCAAGGACAGTGATTATGGTCGTGGTTATTTAAACTGTTTCAGAGCATCTAGATTTCTTAATGCACTGAAGAGTTTGTTCATTTATTGTGCTCCTTATTGATAGCCTGTTGAGACAAAGATGCTGTTCTAAGCTTTAAGGGGATAGCAATAAGCAAGACACTTGTTTCCCAGGGGAGAGGGATACAGATAATCACATGAAGAACTCAGAATAGTGTTGTAATGAAATAAACAGAATTATGGTATGGGAAAAATAATTGAGATGTGTGGGGCCTTTTTTATGTTGGGTGACATTAAGAAAGATCTGGAGAATTCAAGATTTGATCCTCGATCAAATCCAAGCAACTCTTGGGGCAAAATCCCCTGAGGCAGTAATGAGCTTTGTTAAGTGTTTGAATATCCAGTAGGAATGGTGAGAAAAACCTGGAGAAAGTGGTGGCAGGTGAGTGTGAAGCTCTGGGCTGCCCTTAAATCATTTGGGGGCTTCTTAGAGGCTTTACTTATTTTAGGAATAAGTTCCTTAATTACAATTTTGGAGTTAAAATATAGTCTATATTTTAGAAGATTCACAAGACTGAGAGGACTGATGTGATTAAAGACAAAAAGGTGAGAAATGTGTAGAGCATAGTTAGAAACAGGCTAACCTAATTATAACAGGATTTATAAATTTCTAGCATTTGTGCATTTAATATTGCCATTTATGTTAGTTTTTACCTAACTTTGATTTTAAGCAGTTGGTGATTCATAATTTGCTCTTTGCTATTGTCCCTGTAGCATTTCCACGGCAATGCATTAACTTGCATCTCATTTGATGACCATTTTTCATAGAGAAACATGACTTCCAGTTGAACAGGTGGTTGGCCAACTCTCAGTCTTGGATATGCAAGGGAAATTGAATAGAAATTGATTTGAAAGAAATTCAAATGTTATTAGAAATGATGATTTTGAGCTGGTCTCTGGACATATTCTGAAACATAGGTAAGACTGAAAATGTTCAGTGGATCTGGATTCAGAAGCATAAATTGGATACCAAATTAAGGAATTTGGATTTTATCATTCCTGTTTTAATCCATGCTCTGCATTCAAAGTTACCCTTGGTTTTGCTAATTTATATTATGAAACTATAATAAAATGTGTTTATTACAGTTATTTCTTTTGGGGGGGGACACCAGGGATTGAACTCAGGGGCACTCCATCACTGAGCCACATCCCCAGCCCTGGTTTGTATTTTATTTAGAGACAGGATCTTGCTGAGTTCCTTAGTGCCTCCCTGCCATTGCTGAGGCTGGTTTTGAACTTGTTATCCTCTTGCCTCAGCCTCCTGAGCTGCTGGGGTTATAGGCATGCTCCACTGTGCCCAGCTATTGCAATTCTTTCTAAAACATAAAGTTACTTAATTATTTCTCATTCCTTTCCCAAATTGCTGTTTTAGGCATTGGGTAGTTATTGAAGATTATTGAACTATGGCAAAGCATTATGAAAGCATTGTTTGAAAATTGGTAACAATATTCAGGATAAATTGGAAAAAAACTAAATAGTTTTTTTTTTTCCTCCTAAAAACTACTTTGAAAGCTTTTGCAGTAATTCTGAAGGGGTAGGGGATTAGATTTTTACTGGTTCATTAATAAAAATGGACTAAATGAGAGGATGGATATTGAGGGACTATAAGAAGCTTGATTTCTTTAATTGGCTGTGATGCTTTATAGTTAGGTTACAAAGAGACTTTATAAAAGAAGAGTTGATAGGATTTAGAGACCATGAATGTAAATACAAAGAAAAGAATATTAGTGCCTTTTAAATCACATTCAGAGACTGTCCAAATCTTTGTTTTGCCATGGAAATATGACTGAACATGGCTCATAAGTGTAGGATATGGCTTTGTGTTAAAAGACGATTATTCTTTTATAAGTCATTTATTATCAGTTCTTAATATAAAGTTCAAGCAAATGGTGACATAACATTCCCAGGAAGTAGATGCCTCTAAAGAAAAGAATGTCATGTTCTGTCCATTACCTCTCCCTCCTCCATTTTTATCTAGATGATGATGGAAAGGAATAGAAGTGGTGAGTATAGATATTCTGAATCCCTCCTTTTATTAATCCATTTCTGATTTTCTGACTAGTTAAAAAAAATTTGAGAACAAGTGGTATGCTCTTTATGGATAAAATGAATTTTGTTTCAGATTGCTTCCTAAGAAACTCATGTCCAGTTTGTGGTGTTTTATAGTAAGTTGTAAATCACCTCCTTTTCATAATGAGGTAATGAATACAATTGGAAGCTTTGATAAACAAGTGGAATTGTATTAGAAAACATGCTATTTTAGTGCTGTACCACTGTAAACTTAGAATTTACTGTAGTTATATAAAACCTTTCTAAGAAGGAGCATATAATCTTTGTTCATTAGTTGCTCTGTTTTGTGTGTAATTTCATAATATACCTAAAAGCAATTCATTTGAAATACTGTTTGTACATTTTAAAGGTACTTTGTTAGTTTAGGATGAAAGTACCAGCTGAATGATTATTTCTTTTCTGTTTGTTCTTTTTTGAAGTGAGGCTGGGGGTGGAGGTATAGATCCTGGGGATTAGCCCCTGGCCTTACACATGGGCTAAACATGGGCTGTACCATTGAGCTATACCCTCTAGTCTCTCTTTGATATTTCTTGTTATATAGAAGTAAATGTTGTAGAGATACATATAGCACATTTTTTTGAGAGATTTTGTTCCTTTTTCTAAATACACAGTTTAGAAGGTCCCTTTGGGGTGACAGTACCAGGGATAGAAACTAATGGCAGATGGGGCTAGGGTTGTGGCTCAGTGGTAGAGTGCTCGCCTAGCACATGTGAACCCTGGGTTCGATCCTCAGTACCACATAAAAAATTAATAAGTACATATACTAAAAGAAATTAAAAAAAAGGAATCTAATGGCAGAACTGTAGGTCATCAGTAGTGTTTCAAAGGCTG